CGGAGGTAGGGGAGGGAGAGACCGGGGGAGACCAGAGACAAGGACACGGGAGGCGATGCCTCGGAGACGAGGCAGGGAGGGGTGACCAAGGCGGTGGTGCCAAAGGAGAGTCTGGTGAGAGAGGAGACGACACGAGCAGGGAGCAGACTCAGGACCAGACCTGGACGCTGCAGCAAACACCTGACTCGACGCAGCTACTTGACCAAACTTAGCAACTGGAGGAGACTCTGTAGTCAGTGTGTATAGGCTCGACCCCGGCCGACGGGTAAACGTGGCCAAGTGTCGGCCCGTCCGCGCACACGTACAGTGGGTCACCTGCCGACTCGCAGGAGTGAAGTGGTCAACCCCCCGATCCTGTAGATGAGCACCACTCACCAAGTTCGTAGAGAACGAGGGGAGGTAGAGAGCTGACAGGGTGCCAGAGGGGGCTGCCAGACAGGGTAAGACTGTGGAGAAGCGAGCAAGGACAGGACCCCCAGAGGGGTCCGCCAGGGAGACCGCAACCGGCCGACTGAGCGGCGTAAGCGTGGTGCGGTCTCGAAAGAAGGAGCGGGAAGCACCCGAGTCAAGAGTGAAGGTGTGTAAGGCCTGAGACGACGTGGTACCTGAGAGAGCAGACTCACCAGCACGTGGGGCAGCAGACGCACCAGCACCTAGAGCAGCAGCCTCACCAGCACCTAGAGCAGCAGCCTCAATGCCCAGGTCAGGCGGAACACACAGGTGACAGTCTCCCTCATCACTAGTAGGCAATGCATACATGGCAGTGAGGATAGCATCATAGTCAAGAGTATAGATAATCTACCTTCAGCCGAAGCAGCTTCACCCAGTCGGGGAGCTCAGCCGCGTCGCCAAACTCCTTACGCCAGGCGTCGCTCAGACGGGCGAAGCAACGGGATTCTGCGTGACCAAACGTCCCGCAAGGCTGACCTGTCCGAGCATAAGTGCGAATGACGTACGGACAGCGAGCAGTACCTCGTGACCCGTCACGCTGAGCGTACCACTCACGAAGCTGCTGGGGCGAAAGGACCGCTTGCGGACGACGCTGAAGCTGCACCTGGCCACTACAAGCAGCTGCCAAACTACTCACTCCAGGATGACTCCCACTACGGCCACCCCGACAACCCCAACTAGCGTACCACTCACGAAGCTGTTGGGGGGTGAGGGACTCACGCGGGAGACGTTGCGGCTACACCTGGCCACTACAAGCAGCTGTGGAACTTCTCACTCCAGGACGACTCCCACTACGGCCAGCCCGACAACCCCAACTAGCGTACCACGCACGAAGCTGTTGGGGGGTGAGGGACTCACGCGGGCAATGCTGGAGCTGCATCTGGCCACGCCAGGAGCAACCGTAGCAGTAGAAAGAGCAGCAGCAGTAAGAACAGCAGTAACAGCAGGACAGGCAGGGCAGTGCTCACTAGTGGCGAGAAGGGCAGGCGTACGACGGCGGCAACGGCGAGGCCGCTACCACTGTAGAGCCAGAGCTCCGCGGCAGCTGCAGGGGTGGCTGCTCCAGGGGCGGCAGTTGTAGGGGCGGCTGCTACAGGGGCGGCTGCTGCACTGGCGGCTGCTCCGGGGGCGGCTGCTGCAGTGGCGGCTGCTCCAGGGGCGACTACTGCAGTGGCGGCTGCTCCAGGGGCGGCTGTTGCAGTGGCGGCTGCTCCAGGGGCGGCTGCTGCAGTGGCGGCTGCTCCAGGGGCGGCTCGGCTGCTCGGCGACACGGCAGCTCAGTTGCCGGGCGGCTCGGCGGCTTGACTGCTCGCTAGGGGCGGCGACGTGGCCGCGTAGGGGCGGCGACGGGGCCGCTAGGGGCTGGGAGCAGCGACGGGGCTGCTAGGGGCGGTGACGGGGCCGCGTAGGGGCGGCGACAGGGCCGCGTAGGGAGGGAGGAGGCGACGGGGCCGCTAGGGGCGGCGACGGGGCCGCGTAGGGGCGGCGACGGGGCCGCTAGGGGCTGCGACGAGGCCGCTAGGGGCGCCGACGGGGCCGCGTAGGGCGGGGAGCGGCGACGGGGCCGCTAGGGGCGGCAACGGGGCCGCTAGGGGCGGCGACGGGGCCACGTAGGGGCGGCGACGGGGCCGCGTAGGGGCGGCGACGGGGCCGCGTAGGGAGGGGAGCGGCTACGGGGCCGCTAGGGGCGGCGACTGGGCCGCGTAGGGGCGGCGACGGGGCCACTAGGGGCGGCGACGGGGCCGCGTAGGGGAGGCAACGGGGCCGCGTAGGGAGGGAGGTGGTAACGAGGCCGCTAGGGGCGGCAACAGGGCCGCTAGGGGCGGCGACGGGGCCGCATAGGGGCGGCAACAGGGCCGCTAGGGGCCGCGAGGGGCCTCGAATGGCGGCGACGGGGCCGCTAGGGGCGGCGACGGGGCCGCTAAGGGTGGCGCGAGGGGTCGTGAGAGGGGCCTCTAAGAGAGCTCGACAGAAGGGCGTGAGAAAACTGAAACGAGAATGAATGAACTATGAATCAAGTGGGTACAAGTACTAACCCTAATAGGGTTGTACCCCTTATGGGATACCCCACTATAGCCTACACAAAAGCATAAGCTATAATGTTCTGACACACCCCCATAGGCAAAGTGGGGGAGAACAGGGGGTCACAAGACCAGTCAAGCAAAGCAAAACAAAGCAAAGCTCAGGGTGGATAACAAAGTCACCACACATTCCGAGCATAAGTACAAGGCCACAAGGCCAGTTCACATGCAGGAGTACATATATATATAAGGCTAGACAAGCAAGAGCAGGTATATATATATGTAACAGTACAAGCAAGGTCAAGAGGTGAGCAAGTGAGGCAAGACAGGGACAAGACCCAACTGAGTGCAGAAGCGCTAATGATCACAAGGCGGAAGTGCCTTCGTGAAAACATCAGCAGTGTTGGCCTCAGAGGCCACGTACGCAAGCCGCAACTGTCCACGCTGCTGTAGCTCATGAGCAAGGAAGTAGCGGAGAGCAATGTGCTTTGTTCTGTGCTCCAGTCGCTGCTCGCGACACAAGGCCAGCATGGCCTTGTTGTCTACGTACAGCACTGGAGGAGAATGAGGCGGCTCTCCAAGGTCACTCAGCAGGTAGGTGAGCCAGCAAAGCTCCTGTGCAGCCATGGCCCCAGCGTAGATCTCAGCCTCACAACTGGAGCCGAGAACAGAAGACGAGCGAGTAGCCCGCCACGAGACAGAGCCGGAACCAAGGCTGAAGGTGTAACCCTGTGACGACCGCTGCGTAGCCTGGTCGTCAGCCCAAGAAGCGTCTGCGTGCGTAGTGAGGATTATTTGACTGTGCCCTCCAAGCACAAGCCCCATGCCTGACGTACTGCACAAGTAGCGCAACACCCTCTTCGCTGCAGCCATGTGCTCTGGTCGGTGTCTCCAAGGAGCAACATAGCGTGCGAGAATGCTAAGAGGGTATGCAAGGTCAGGTCGTGTGCAGGTCATCAGGTACATGAGGCAGCCAACAAGCTCTGGATACGGGCCACTTGACTCTACGGACTCATCCGAAGGCAGAGCTGAGAGCGAGTGGCGAGTAGGCAGAGGAGTGGCCTGAGGCGAGGAGTACGTGAAGCCAAAGCGCTGAAGGACCTGCTGCACCATGTGTGACTGAGTCAGGGTAATGGTGCGGCGTGCTCTGTCCCGAGTGATCTGCAAGCCAAGGTAGCTGCGCAGTTCACCCAGGTCTGTGCACGTGTGTCTCTTCTACAGCTCGGAATTCACGTAGGCGAGTCCAGCAGTGTCAGCTGTGGCAAAGACCAAGTCGTCGACGTACACGAGGATGTAGAACGGCGGCAGAGAGGTGTCGGTGCGTAGAAACAGGGACGGGTCGGCAGTAGAAGGAGCAAACCCAAGAGCCGCAAGTGTAGTCCTCAGTTTGTTGTGCCACTCATGTGGCGCCTGGCGGAGACCGTAAACTGGACGCCGGAGGCTCCACTGGGTACCAGGAGGGAACGACCCAAAGAAGCCACGTGGGCGGCGCAGCCAGATCTCCTCGTGCAGGCTGCCCTGCAAGAAAGCTGTGCTAAAGTCGAGAGAGTGCAGCTCGTAGTCACGGTGAGTAGCAACGTGTAGCAGTATCCGAAGAGTGGTCATCTTCGGGGTGGGAGAGAAGGTCTGAAAGTAGTCAACTCCCTGCCGCTGTCTGAAGCCACGAGCCACGTAGCGTGCCTTGAAGACAGGCGGAGAACCCAGCGGCTGCTTCACTCTGAAGATCCACATGCCACTGACGATGTTCGCCCCAGGCAGGGGAACCTCGTAAACGTAGGTGCCAATGGACTTCCAGGAAGCCATCTCTGTGTCCATAGCTGCCTGCCACTGAGAGGAGTAGGGACCCTCTATCGCCTCCGCGTAGGAGCGCGGAGTCGGGATGTCAAGTGCATCCGGGTCTCCCTGAGGGGTAAGCAGTACGGACACGAGATGAGGTGAAGCAGCTGCCAGACACTGGAACTCCTCCTGCCTGTCCTCAAGGACGTCCGTGCCAAGGGCACACTCACCTCTGACGGACGGAGGACAGACAGACTCGACTCAGCGACAAGACTAGCAGCGTAGTCTAGGCGACAGCGAGCAGCAAAGTCGACGAGCTTAGCAACTAGGGCGGACGCAGCAGTGGACTCGAAAGAAGGGTCAGTGACGACAGTCGCCAGGAGACGCGTGACAGTAGGACTGGCAGCATGAAGAGAGTCCGACTCTGGGTCGGCAAAAGCAGGAACAGAGGACTCAGGAGGAGAAGGCAAAGGGGCACGCAGAGGAGCAGTGGACAGGACGCAGAGACATCTGGTGCGTGCCAGGGACAGGAGGAGGACGCTGACGCGAACCACGACCACTAGCGCGAGTAGGACGGACAGGCGACGTAGGGCGAGACGCAGGCTTACGACGCTCAGCAAGACCTCCAGTAGGACCAGTGTAGGGAGAAGGAGCAGGCAAAGGGGAGGCAGGCTGCAACTGTAACTGTGACGGGACAGGCTGTGGACACTCTAAGGGAGGAGGAGGACCAGTAGAAGGTGGAAGACCAAGAACCTACTGCAGGAGTGGAACAAAGTACAGTCGAGGCCGCGTGGCGACGCCAGACACAGCAGGGACAGCACCAGTACCTCGAGCAGGAGCACCCGCTCCAGCAGCACCTCCAGTAGCTCCAGAACCTCCAGCAGCACCACGAGGACCCCCAGCAGGACCACCAGCGGTAGTCTCAGCGCCAACACCCTTAGCAGCACCAGCTCCAGTCGAACCTGCAGGCCCAGCAGCTTAAGTACTCCCAGTACGAGCACCTCCGGGACCCGCGACAGCAGCACCCTCAGTAGCCGAAGAACCTCCAGCACCAGCAGCACGGCTCGAGCGCCGGGCAAACCACTCGCGCAGCTCCTGTAGAGAGAGTGGCTCCCGCAGAGACGAAGCAACCGGAGAACCTCCAGGCGTAGCAACTCCAAGCTCAGCACCCCTAGGCTCAGCACCCCCATCTGTAGCACTCCCAGGCAAAGCACCCCCAGGCGTAGCACCCCAACGCATAGCACCCCCACGCTCAGCACCCCCAGGCTCAGCACCCCCAGGCTCAGCACCCCCAGGCTTAGGACTCCCAGGCTCAGCACCCCAAGGCTCACCACCCCCAATCTCAGCACCTCCAGGCTTAGTACCCTCAGCAGCACCAGAGTCACCAGTAAACTCGACAGGCTCGACTGCGTCTACCTGGGACACACCTGAAGGGGCAGGACCCTGAGGGGGGAGGGGGTCTACCGGAGGGGGACCTGGTACAAGGAAGAGCGGGGGGGGGGGGGAGGGACGGAGTGCGGTAGGGGAAGAGGCGGTAGTAGGGGACCGACTCGTCAAACGTGACGTCCTGGGAGGACAGAACACGGCGAGAGGTGGGGTGGTAGAACTGCCACCCAGGCGCGTCAGGGGGGAACCCCAGGATGACGCAAGGAGCAGCACGAGGGGACAGCTTGTCTGCCGACAAGTCGTGGACAAACGCCCGAGATCCCGAGACCCGGAACGCCGACGCATCGCCAACCTTCCCCGTCCACAGCAAGGCTGGGGAGGTCTCCGGCCTAGAGACCCAGGGGTGTAGGTTGATCTGATGCGCCGCGTACCTCACCGCAAACGGCCACAGAAAATGGGGAGCAGCCGCATGCATCATAGACGTACGAGCGACGTCCATGACCATGCCAATGCGGCGCTCAGCAATCCCATTTTGCTGCGGGGAGTCAGGACGCGTGAAGGTCTGACGGATGCCTCGTGCGTGACAGTAGGCTCGCAGAAGGCCAGAGGAAAACTCTCCGCCTCTGTCCGAGTGCAGACGCAGAAAAAGAAAGTCCGAGCCAAAGCTCTGCCTGAGCTGGAGAGGAGCTGCGCGGATCCAGTCGATCAGTACCTCAGTGACATCACCCTTGCTGTGCAAGGGGAAGACCGCGGTGTAATGCGAGTAGTCGTCAACAACGAGCATGAAGTGGCGCTCGTGACCCTGTCCACGGACGCGGGCTGGGCCCCACACGTCCATGTGAAGTGTCTGCAGCGGGGCCTCTCTTGGAGGAAACTGGGAGGAATGAGGGGCAGCCCGCTGGCGCCCCTAGAAACACGGGACACAGGTAGGGCCAGGGCCCTGAGGAAGGGGAGGGAGGGACCGGGGGAGACCAGAAACAAGAAGACGAGAGGCCATGCGTCTGAGCCGAAGTAGAGAGGGGTGACCAAGGCGGTGGTGCCAGAGGAGAGTCTCGTGAGACAGGAGACGACACAAACAGGGGGCAGACTCAGGACCAGACCTGGACGCTGCAGCAAACACCTGACCCGACGCAGCTACCCTACCAGACTCAGCATCATGGAGGAGACGCAGTGGTCAGTGTGTACAGGCTCGACCCCGGCTGACGGGTAAACGTAGCCAGGTGTCGGCCTGTGCTAGCCTCTGTGTAGTGCGTCACGCACTGACGCGCAGGAGTGAAGTGGTGTACTCCCCCATCCTTTAGGTCAGCACCACTCACCAGGTTCGTAGAGAACGAGAGGAGGTATAGGCCAGAAAGGGTGCCAGAGGGAGCCGCCGGACACGGGAGGACTGTGGAGAAGTGAGACAGGATAGGACCCCCAGAGGGGTCAGCCGGAGACACCGCAACCGGCCGACTAAGCGGCGTGAGTGTGGTGCGGTCTCGGAAGAAGGAGCGAGAAGCCCCAGAGTCAAGGGTGAAGGTGAGGGAGGCCAAAGCCGACGCAGTACCTGAGAGCGCAGACTCACCAGTACCTGAGGACGCAGACGCACTAGCACCTAGAGCAGCAGCGGCGTAAGCACCTAGGGCAGCAGCCTCACCAGTACCTACAGCAGCAGTCTCAATGCCCGGATCGGGCAGGAAACACCGGTAATAGTCACCCTCATCACTAATAGACACAGCATACATGGCAGAAAGGATAGCATCAAAATCAAGATTATAGATGGTAACTCCCGCCCTAGACAGCTCGCCCCAGCGAGGGATCTCTATGGCCTCCGGGAACTGGTGACGCCACGCGTCCGTCAGGCGGCCAAAGTAGCGCTGGGTGGGGTGCGCACCCCCACATTGCTCACCCGCACGGTCGCCGGTGCGAAGGACGTAGGTGCACGGACAAAAACCCCCACCCCGCTGGCGTGCAGTGTACCACTCACGGAGCTGCTGAGGGGACAGGGTCTCACGATCGCGCTGCTGCTGCTGGCGTGGACCACCACCGGAGCCACTCCTCTGCGTAGACCCGCGACCAGCTCCACCGCCACCCCCGCCGCCTCCGCCGCCTCCGCCGCCTCCGCTACTACCCCCGCCTCCGCCGCCTCCTCCACCGCCACCACCTCCGCCTCCTCCGCTCCCACCACCACCGCCGCCGCCGCCTCCGCCTCCACTGCCGCCACCGACACCTCCACCCCCACCTCCACTCCCACCGCCACCCCCACTCCCCCCGCCGCCTCCACCTCCACCTCCAGCGCCCCCGCTCACTCCTCCAGTGCCCCTGCCCCCCTTGCCCTTGCCAGAGCCGCGTCTCCCGCTAGGGGCAGACGCCGCACCGACCGACTCAAGACCAAGGAGGTCGGCCGCAGCAGCAGAGGCAACAGAGGGCAGAAGGGGGGAGGGGGAACACCCCTCAAAGATGGGGGTGCGCGGGTCACCACGAGAGGCCCCTACAGCGACTATGCTCTTCTCGGCCGCTAAAAGGGACTTCTCGAGGAGGTCAACAGTGAGAGTGGTGGGACAGACCGAGAGGAAGTGGTCCCTGACTACGCGAAGGGAGTCAGGGAGGCGGGTGACTATGTAGTAGAGAGTGATGTACATGGGGGGGGGGGGTTCTTGGCGCAGAAGTCAGCAGGAAGTGCAGTGAGTGTCACTAGTGCGGAGGTGCGTAATGAGGTCAGCGACTGTGGGAAAGGCAGTAAGGTCAGGGAAGAGGTACGGTAGCATGAGACGGCTCAGTGCAGCAATGGCAGGGGAGGAGTAGCGTGCAACAACAGCGTCGTACAAGGTCTGAGCACTCTTGTACTGACTAAAGTGCGCATGCTCAGAGGTAGGGAGGTGGCGACGCACAGCAAGACGTGCAGCAGCATCGCGCGTGGCCCACTGTGAGCGAACAGTGGCGTCAGCATCAGTAGTAGGAGCAGGAGAGGCACCAGAGGTGAGGTCAAAGAGGGAGAGACCGTCTGCCCTATCGCACTGTAAGAATAGCTGCAGGTCATTTACCCAGACGTCAAAGTCAATGGCTCGATCCTCGGCGTCAAAAGCGAGGACACTAGGGGTAGCCATGACAACAGTAGACTAGCAGCGCACACAGTAGGGAAAGGGCAGTGCAGTGGCAGAGGCGCTGTGCTTACCGGACCGGGCTGCTCGGGCGGCTCGGAATTTCGGCTGCACGGCGGCTCGGCTGCAGGGCGGCTCAGCTGCTGGGCGGCTCGGCTGCAGGGCGGCTCGGGTGCCCGGCTGCTGGGCAGCTCGGCTGCAGGGCGGGTCGGCTGCTCTGCTGTCCGGCTGCTCAGCTGCTTGGCGGCTCGGCTGTGCTGCTGCACGGCGGCGCGGCGGTCGGCTGCTCGGCTAGGTGAGGCGGCTCGGGCGGCTCGGGTGGTGGGCGGCGCTGCAGCATGTGACGAGGCCGCAGGGAAGGCGGCGGGGCCGCAAGTGAGGGCGGCAGGGACCGCAAGTAAGGGCGGCGGGGACCGCAGGTAAGGGCGGCGGGGATCGCTAGGGCGACGAATCAGGGGCCGCTAAGGCGGCGAGTCTTGGCCGCTAGGGCGGCTCGACGAAGTCAGAGAGGGGAGCGCGACTCGGGCTGAGCGCGCTCCGGGCAGGAAAAAAAAAAATTTCGACTTGGTGGGCCCTAGGCACAGTTCCCATGAGGGAACCTGCTCGATACCATGAGAAAACTGAAACGAGAATGAATGAACTATGAATCAAGTGGGTACAAGTACTAACCCTAATTGGGTTGTACCCCTTACGGGATACCCCTCTACAGCCTACACAAAAGCATAAGCTATAATGTTCTGACAGGGCGGCCCACAAGGCGCGCCTCGGGCATGAGCGACTGTCGCTCAGGTCAGAAAAAAAGGGTTTTAGTGGTGGGCCCAAGGAAGCATTTCCACTAGGGAACCTGCTCTATACCATGTGAAGAAATGAGGAATGAATGAACTAAGAAGCAGGTGGGTACAAGTAGGAAAACCTAGAAGTGCTGTACCCCATATTGTCTACCCCACTATAGCCTACATAGACTATAGCATATAAGTTTGACATAAACACTGCGCCGAAGCGTTGTCCCACTGGTGTACTGCCCTGTCTGCGGCGCAACTACCCTTGATCAGGGGGTACTGTGCCGCCTGAAGTACAGTGTCGTGTCAGAATATTATGTTTCTCTAGTCTGTAGTGGGGTACTCTATAGTGAGTACAACCCTTTTAGGGTTTGCTATATGTATCCCAATGTTTGCTAGTGAACCTCCCCCCTTCTCATCATTCCTCAATCATCACATGGTATAGAGCTGTCTCGATCCTTGGGCCCACCACTGAATTGGTTTTTCCTACCCAAGGCGCGCGTCGCGCCTGCCCTTAACGGCCCTTAGCGGCCCCTCGTAAGGCCCTTCGCGGCCCCTCGTTAGGCCCCCCCTTCGCGGCCCCTCGTAAGGCCCCTTCGCGGCCCCTCGTTAGGCCCCTTCGCGGCCCCTCGAAAGGCCCCTTCGCGGCCCCTCGTTAGGCCCCTTCGCGGCCCCTCGTAAGGCCCCTTCGCGGCCCCTCGTTAGGCCCCCCTCGCGGCCCCTCGTCAGGCCCTTCGCGGCCCCTCATACGGCCCTTCGCGGCCCCTCGTACGGCCCTTCGCGGCCCCTCGTACGGCCCTTCGAGGCCCCCCCGTAAGGCCCTGTCGCGGCCCCTCGTCGCGGCCCCCCGTCGCGGCCTTCCGTATCGGCCCCGTCGCCCGGCGTCGCCCCTGTCCCGGACCTGTCGTGGCCCTGCCCCGACCTTGTCGCGGCCCTAACGCGGCCCTGCCCCTGCCATGCCCCGACCCTCCCCAGGCCCCGCCCTCCTCATGCCTGTCGTGGCGCACCAGGGGCCCGTGCACCCCCCCCCCCCCCCCCCCACCCCCCCCCTTTTCCCGTCGCCTTGCGTGGCGAGCGGGGGGGGGGGGGGGGGGGGGGGGCGCGAGCGAGGGGCGAATTGGGGGGGCGCGCGTCGCCCCTTCTTCCGCCTGCTCTGGCACCCTGGGAGGCCGCGCGTCGGCCCCCGTACTCCCCCCCCCCCCCCCCCCCCCCCTCAGGTCGCCTCAATAGGCGACGAAAGGGGCGACATGGGGGGGGCCGTGCGTTGGAGCAGCCGCCCCTAGTGCAGCCGCCTCTGGCCCCTGGAACAGCCGCCCCTGGTGCAGCCGCCCCTGGACCTCAGCAGCCGCCCCTGGCCCCTGGAGCAGCCGCCCCTGGACCCTGCGACGCCGCCCCTGGACCCGGTGCCGCCGCCTCCCTGTGCTGCCCATTGCCGCCCGTTGCTGCCCGTTGCTGCTCTCCCCCCCCCCCCCCCCCCCCCCCCCCCCCCTTCTTCGTCTCCCTGCTGCACGTGCAGCCGTGGAATGGAGGGTATGGGGGTGGCGGGTATAGGGGTGATGGATGGTATGTTTCCCTTCCCCTCCTCCTCCTTTATCTCCCACTTCTGCAGCTGCCGCTGAGGGGGGTGGATGTGTGGGAGCCAAAGGCGTGGTGCTAGGGGGTGGGGTGTGAGTGAACCTAGGGGTGCAGTAGGGGTTGTGTGAAATAGGGGTGGGATAGTTTGGGGAGGTTGAAGGGGGTGGCCGCCGTGAAGCCCGCAGCTCCATTCGCCCGTGAGACCGTTGCGCCAGCCGCCCGTGAGCTTGTTGCGCCAGTCGCCCATGAGCCCGTTGCTCCAGTCGCGCGTGAGTCCGTTGATCCTGCCGTTCAGAGTTAGCCGCGGAGCCAGTTACTCCAGTAGCCCGTGTGCCAGTTGCTCCAGTTGCCAGTGTGCCAGTTGCTCCAGTTGCCCGTGTGCCAGTTGCTCCAGTTGCGCCGTGTGCCAGGAGCTTCAGCTGCCGCCCACTACCTCCTCTCCGCTCATAGTCCCTCCTCCTCCACACTTGTCCTCTGCGATAGCCTCTAGCTTTGCTTACATTTGTGAACTTTAAACCAAGAAAATGAACGAGAATGAATTGACTAAGGGAACGTTGGGTACAAGTACAAACCCTAGAAAGTCGTACCCCATATGTGCTACCCCACTATAGCCTACAACAGCTATGTCATATAAATCTGACACACCCCCATAGGCAAAGTGGGGGAGAACAAGAGGTCACAAGACCAGTTAAGCAAAGCAAAACAAGCTCAGGGTGGATCACAAAGTCACCACACATTCCGAGCACAAGTTCAAGGCCAAAAGGCCAGTTCATATGCAGGATTACACATATATATAAAAGGCTAGACAAGCAAGAGCAGGAGTATATATATATGTAACAGTACAAACAAGGTCAAGTGGTGAGCAAGTGAGGCAAGGCAGGCACAAGACCCAACTGAGTACAGAAGCGCAGATGATCACAAGGCGCAAGCGCCTTGGTGAAGATATCAGCAGTGTTGGCCTCAGAGGCCACGTACGCAAGGCGCAGCTGACCACGCTGCTGTAGCTCACGAGCAAGGAAGTAGCGAAGAGCAATGTGCTTCGTTCTGTGCTCCAGTCTCTGCTCCTGACACAAGTCCAGCATGGCCTTGTTGTCTACGTACAGGACTGGAGGAGAACGAGGCGGCTTTCCGAGGTCACTTAGCAGGTAGGTGGGCCAGCGAAGCTCCCGTGCAGCCATAGCTCCGGTGTAGATCTCAGCCTCACAACTGGAGCCGAGAACAGAAGACGAGCGGGTAGCCCGCAACGAAACAGAGCCGGAACCAAGGCTGAAGGTGTAGCCCTGTGACGACCGCTGCGTAGCCTGGTCGTCAGCCCAAGAAGCGTCTACGTGCCTAGTGAGGACCACTGGACTCTGCCCTCCAAGCACAAGCCCCATGCCCGACGTACTGCACAAGTAGCGCAACACCCTCTTCGCTGCAGCCATGTGCTCTGGTCTGTGTCTCCCAGGAGCAACATAGCGTGCCAAGATGTTAAGAGGGTATGCAAGGTCAGGTCGTGTGCAGGTCATCAGCTACATGAGGCAGCCAACAAGCTCTAGGTACGGGCCACTCGGCTCTACGGACTCATCCGAAGGCAGAGCTGAGAGCGAGTGGCGAGTAGGCAGAGGAGTGGCCTGAGGCAAGGAGTACGTGAAGCCGAAGCGCTGAAGGACCTGCTGCACCATGTGTGACTGAGTCAGGGTAATGGTGCGGCGTGCTCTGTCCCGGGTGATATGCAGGCCAAGGTAGCTGCGCAGTTCACCCAGGTCAGTGCACGTGTGTCTCTTCAGCAGCTCAGACTTCACGTGGGCGAGTCCAGCAGTGTCAGCTGTGGCAAAGACCAAGTCGTCGACGTACACGAGGATGTAGAACGGCGGCAAAGAAGTGTCGGTGCGCAGAAACAGAGACGGGTCGGCAGTAGAGGGAGAAAACCCAAGAGCCGCAAGTGTAGTCCTCAGTGTGTCGTGCCACTCACGCGGTGCCTGGCGGAGACCGTAGACTGGCCGCCGGAGGCTCCATTGGGTGCCAGGAGGAAAAGACCTAGTGAAGCCAGGTGGGCGACGCAGCCAGATCTCCTCGTGCAGGCTGCCCTGCTAGAAAGCAGTGCTGAAGTCAAGAGAGTGCAGCTCGTAGTCACGGTGAGCAGCTATGTGCAGCAGTACCCGAAGAGTGGTCATCTTCGGGGTGGGAGAGAAGGTCTGAAAGTAGTGAACTCCCTGCCGCTGACCGAAGCCACGAGCCACGTAACGCGCCTTGAAGACAGGCGGAGAACTTGGCGGCCACTTCACCCTGAAAATCCACATGCCACTGACAATGTTCGCCCCAGGCGAGGGAACCTCGTCAACGTAGGTGCCTGTGGACTTCCAGGAAGCCATCTCTGCGTCCATAGCTGCCAGCCACTGAGAGGAGTAGGGACCCTCTATCGCCTCCGCGTAAGAGCGCGGAGTCGGGATGTCAAGTGTATCCGGGTCTCCCTCAGGGGTAAGCAGTACGGACACGAGATGAGCTGAATCAGTAGCCAAACACTGGAACTCCTCCTGCCTGTCCTCAAGGACGTCCGTGCCAAGGGCACACTCACCCCCGACGGACGGAGGACAGATAGTCTCAGACGCAGCAACAAGACTAGCAGCGTAGTCTAGACGACAGCGAGCAGCAAAGTCGACGAGCTCAGCAACTAGGGCCGACGCAGCAGTGGACTCAAAGGAAGGGTCAGTGACAATAGTAGCAAGGAGACGCCTGACAGTCGGACAGGCTGTACGAAGGGAGTCCGAATCTGGGTCAGCAAGAGCAGGAAGAGAGGAGTCAGGAGGAGAAGGCAAAGAGGCATGCAGAGGAGCAGTGCACGGACGGAGAGACATCCGGTGCGTGCCGGGCACAAGGGGAGGACGCGGACGCGAACCACGACCACTAGCGCGAGCAAGCACGGACAGGCAACAGTGGATGAGACGCAGGCTCAAGACGCTTAGCAAAACCTCCAGTAGGACCAGTGTAAGGAGAAGGAGCAGGCAATGGGGAGGCGGGCTGTAACTGTAACTGTGACAGGACAAGCTATGGTCTAAGGGAGGAGCAGGACCAGTAGAAGGCGGGAGACCAAGAACCTGCTCAAGGAGCGGAACAAAGTACGGCCGAGGCCGCGCGACGACTCCAAACACAGCAGGGACAGCACTAGTACCCCCAGTGGTAGCACCAATGCCAGCAGCACCTCCAGCTCCAGCACCCCCAGCAGCTCCAATAGCTCCAGGACCTCCAGCAGCACCACTAGCACCCCCAGCAGGACCGCCTCCATGACCGACAGTAGTAGCCTCAGCGCCAACACCCGCAGCAGCTCCAGCTCCAGTAGTACCCGCAGGCCCAGCAGCCATAGTACTCCCAGTACGAGCACCTCCGGGACCCGCGACACCAGCACCCTCAGTAGCCGAAGAACCTCCAGCTCCAGAAGCACGCCTCCAGCGCCGGGCAAACCACTCGCGCAGCTCCTGTGGAGAGAGTGGCTCCCGCCGAGACAAAGCACCCGGGGAACCTCCAGGCACAGTACCGCCAGACGCGACACGAGCAGGCGCAGCTCCCTCAGGCTCCGCACCCACAGGCTCAACATCTCCAGGCGTAGCACCCCCAGGCTCAGCACCCCCAGTCGTAGCACCCCAAGGCTCAGCACCCCCAGGCGTAGCACCCCCACGCTCAGCACCCCCAGGCTCAGCACCCCCAGGCGTAGCACCCACATGCTCAGTACCCCCAGAGTCAGCACCCCCAGGCTCAGCACCCAGAGCAGCACCAGAGTCACCAGCAACCTCGACAGGCTTGACTGCGTCTACCTGGGACACACCTGAAGGGACAAGACCCTGAGGGAGAAGGGGGTCTACCGGGGGGGGGGGGACCTGACTTAAGGAACAGCGGTGGCGGGGGGAGGGACGGAGTGCGGTAGATGAAGAGACGGTAGTAGGGGACTGACTCGTCAAACGTGACGTCCTGGGAGGACAGAACATGGCGAGAGGTGGGGTGGTAGAACTGCCACCTAGGCGCGTCAGGGGGGAAGCCAAGGAAGATGCAAGGAGTAGCACGAGGGGACACCTTGTCCGCAGACAAGTCCCGGACAAACGCCCGAAATCCCCAGACACAGAACGCAGACGCATCGCCAACCTTCCAGGTCCACAGCAAAGCTGGGGAGGTCTCCGGCATGGAGATCCAAGGCTGAAGGTTGATCTGATGCGCCGCGTACCAAACCGCAAACGGCCACAGAAAATGGGGGGCAGCCGCATGCATCATGGACATACGAGCGACGTCCATGACCATGCCAATGCGGCGCTCAGCAGTCCCATTTTGCTGTGGAGTGTCCGAAAGTGTGAAGGTTTGGCGGATGCCTCGTGCACGATAGTAGGCTTGCAAAAGGCAAGAGGAGAACTCTCCGCCTCTGTCAGAGTGCAGACGCAGAATAGGAAAGTCCGAGCTGAAGCTCTGCCAGAACTGGAGACGAGCTGCGCGGATCCAGTCGATCAACACCTCAGTGACCTCACCCTTGCTGCGCAAGGGGAATACTATTGTGTAACGCGAGAAGTCGTCAACCACCAGCAGGAAGTAGCGCTCGTGACCGTGTCCACGGACGCGGGCTGGGCCCCACACGTCCATGTGAAGCGTCTGCAGCGGGGCCTCTGTCGGAGAAAACTGGGAGGAGTGAGGGGCAGCACGCTGCCGCCCCTCGATGCAGGGGACGCAGGCAGGGGCAGGCCCCGGAGGAAGGGGAGGGAGGGACCGGGGAAGACCAGAGACAAGGACACGGGAGGCCATGCCTCGGAGACGAAGCAGGGAGGGGTGACCAAGGCGGTGGTGCCAAAGGAGAGTCTCGTGAGACAGGAGGCGACACGAGCAGGGGGCAGACTCAGGACCAGACCTGGACGCTGCAGCAAACACCTGACCCGACGCAGCTATCGACCAGACGCACGGACAAGAGGAGACTCAGTGGTCAGTGTGTACAGGCTCGACCCCGGACGACGTGTAAATGTGGCCAGGTGTCGGCCTGTCCGAGTGTCCGTGCAGTGGGTCACCCGCTGACTCGCAGGAGTGAACTGGTGAACCCCTGCATCCTGTAGGTCAGCACCAGTCACCAAGTTCGTAGAGAACGAGGGGAGGTAAGGACCAGACTGGGTGCCAGAGGGGGCCGCCGGACATGGGAGGAGAGTGGAGAAGTGAGCAAGGACACGACCCCCAGAGGGGTCTGCCAGAGAGACTGCAACTGGCCGACCAAGCGGCGTGAATGTGGCGCGGTCTTGAAAGGAGTGAGAAGCCCCCGAGTCAAGGGTGAAGGTGTGGGAGGCCGAAGCCGACGCGGTACGTGAGAGGGCAGACTCACCAGCACCTGAGGAAGCAGACGCACTGGCACCTAGAGCAACAGCCTTGCTAGCACCTAGAGCAGCAGTTTCAAGGCCCGGGTCGGGCGGAAAACACCGGTAATAGTCACCCTCATCACTAATAGTCACAGCATACATGGCAGCAAGAATAGCATCAAAGTCAAGGTCAAAGATAGCTACTCCCGCCCTAGACAGCTCGCCCCATCGAGGGATCTCAGTGGCCTCAGGGAACTGGTGACGCCAAGCGTCCGTAAGGCGGCCAAAGCAGCGCTGGGTGGAGTGCGCACCCCTGCACTGCTCACCCGCGCGGTCGGTGGTGCGTAGGACGTAAGTGCACGGACCAGTACCCCCACCCGGATGGCGTGGAGCGTACCACTCACGGAGCTGCTGAGGGGGGGGGATGTCATGAGTGCGCTGCTGCTGCTGGCGCTGACCACCACCGGAGCCGACCCTCTGCGTAGCGCCACCCCGACCAGCTCCGCCTCCTCCGCCGCCGCCTCCTCCTCTGTCGCCACCTCCGCCACCTCCGCCCCCACCGCCACCGCCGCCTCCGCCTCCGCCTCCACTGCCGCCACCGACACCTCCACCCCCGCCACCACTCCCACCCCCACCCCCTCCACTGCCGCCACCGCCACCTCCGCCACCCCCGCCAGCCCCTCCAGCGCCCTTGCCCCCCTTGCCCTTGCCGGTGCGGCGTCTCCCGCTCGAGGCAGACGCTGCGCCGACCGACTCAAAACCAACGAGGTCGGCCGCAGCAGCAGAGGCAACAGAGGGCAAAAGGGGGGAGGGGGAACACCCCTCAAAGACGGGGGTGCGAGGGTCACCACGAGAGGCTCCTACAGCGATTATGCTCTTCTCTTCCGCTAGGAGGGCCTTCTCAAGGAGGTCAACGGTGAGAGTGGTGGGGAAAACTGAGAGGAAGTGGTCCCTGACTACGCGGAGAGAGTCAGGGAGCCGGGTGATTATGTAGTAGAGGGTGATGTACATGGGGGGGGGGGGGGTTCTTGGCGAAGAACTCAGCAGGAAGCGCAGCGTGGTAGCGAGTGTCGATAGTGCGGAGGTGCGTAATGAAGTTAGTGACGGTGGGAAAGGCAGCAAGGTGAGGGAAGAGGTACGGTAGTATGAGGCGGCTCAAGTGCAGCAGTGGCAGGGGAGGAGTAGCATGCAACTACAACGTCGTACAATGTCTGAGCACTCTTGTACTGGCTAAAGTGCGCACGCTCAGAGGTAGGCAGGTGGCGACGCACAGCAAGACGTGCAGCAGCATCACGTGTGGCCCACTGTGAGCGAACATTGGCGTTAGCATCAGCAGCAGGGGGAGGAGAGGCACCATAAGTGAGGTCAAAGAGGGAGAGACCGCCTGCCCTATCGCACTGTAAGAAAAGCTGTAGGTCATCTACCCAGACGTCAAAGTCAATGGCCCGACCCTCAGCGTCAAAAGAGAGGTCACTAGGGGTAGCCATGACAGCAGTAGGCTAGTAGCGCGAACAGTAGGGTAAGGGCAGTGGAGTGATAGAGGCGCTGCTCTTACCGGACAGGGCGGCTCGGGCGGCTCGGCGGTACGGCGGCTCGGCGGCTCGGCGGCTCGGCGGTACGGCGGCTCGGCAGCAATTGCGGCTCGGCGACTCGGCGGCTCTCGCGGCACGGGCGACTCGGCGGTACGGCGGCTCGGCGACCCGGCGGCTCGTGCGGCTTAGGTGGCGCGGCGGCTCGGGCGGCTCGGGTGGCTCAGGTGGCTCGGCAGTAGCTTGGCGGTGCCGGCGGCTCGGGCGGCTCGGGTGGCTCGGGCGGCTCGGCAGTAGCTCGGCGGCGCCGGCGGCTCGGTGGTGACGGCGGGGCCGCGTGGGAATGGCGGCGGGGCCGGTAGAGGCGGCGCCGGGGCCGGGAAGGGCGGCGCCGGGGCCGTAGGGTAGGCGACTGGGCCGTTGGGTAGGCGACGGGGCCGTAGGGTAGGCGCGGGGGCCGCAGGGTAGGCGACGGGGCCAGCAGAGGCGGCGCCGGGGCCCGGATGGGCGGCGCCGGGGCCGGGAAGGGCGGCGCCGGGGCCGTAGGGTAGGCGACGGGGCCGCAGGGTGGGCGACGGGGCCGCAGGGTAGGCGCCGGGGCCGCGGGGTAGGCGACGGGGCTAGTAGAGGTGGCACCGGGGCCGGGAAGGGTGGCGTCGGGGCCGGGAAGGGCGGCGCCGGGGCCGCAGGGGTAGGCGAAGGGGCCGCTAGGGCGGCTAGGAGGGGGGGGGGGCCGCGAGGGCGGCACGACACGACGGAGCCGCAAGGGCGGCGGATTGGGGCCGCGAGGGCGGCGCGACGCGGTCGCTAGGGCGGCGCGACGTGACGGGGCCGCGAGGGCGACGCGACGGGGTCGAAAAAGGGGAGCGCGACTCGGGCAGAGTAGAGCGCGCTCCGGGCAGGAAAAAAAGGTGGTGGGCCCTAGGAACAGTTCCCACAGGGGAACCTGCTCTATACCATGAGAAAATGAACGAGAAGGAATTGACTAAGGGAAAGTTGGGTACAAGTACAAACCCTAGCAAGTCGTACCCCATATGTGCTATCCCTTTATAGCCTACAATGGCTATGTCATATAAATCTGACATAAACTGTTGCTTCTTGTACTTGTGCTCAGAATGTGTGGTTACATTGTGATCCACCCTGAGCTTGTTCTGCTTTGCTGGTTGTGCTGATTACACCCCACTTTGACTATGGGGGTGTGTCAGAATATTATGTTTCTCTAGTCTGCAGTGGGGTACTCTATAGTGAGTACAACCCTTTTAGGGTTTGCTATATGTATCCCAATGGTTGCTAGTGAACCTCCCCCCTTCTCATCATTCCTCAATCATCACATGTCGGCCGCTGCTTTTGTTCCGAAAATGTCGCGGATCTTGTTGTAGGTACAGTAGTGACCCTAGCGATAGACAATCTAGTCGTAGGCGGCTTTTCCCGATCTTTTCGGTGGCTAAAAAAACCACTTCCGTCGTACACTGTGCCGCTCCTACCGGAAACGCCAACGACGCACCCTCCTGCAGCCACACCGGCCACACCCGGGCGGGACGACGGTAGACCCCCTCTTTCTTCGAGCAGTCGCCACGCCGTCTCTCGTTGCATTTTCTGACGCAAATCACCATGCGCCCGGCCTGCCCTGGCCAGCTGTCGTTTCTGCCGTGAAGCCACCCGAAATCTTCGCGCACAGTAGCGCCGCATGTCACTTGCCGAAGACGTCCAAAATTCTCGTGCGCAACGTGACAAAATCGCTCGACGCCACTTGCCGCACGAATTAACTCTGATTTCTTCGTGCGCAGCTGACGACCACTGTGAGAGTACGACGTCTTATGCCAGCTATGCTTGCTTGCCTTTACTTTATTATGCTACTTCTAGCATAGGATAATTATATGCATGCATGAATTGTTTGATTTCCTATGCTAGGTGCTTTCCTATATTTTATTATAGTTATAGCACCGAGCTAGGATTGCGTACACCGACTTTTGGCTTTTCGGTTGCCACCGAATTGCCTTCTACCGAATTCGGTAAGGATCTGTTCGGGACGCTACGCGGCTCGCGGAACCTTCGCGTAACACCTGGTTACGGGGCCTTGTGTCGAGCCTATATATAGCCTCGTATTGTACCCAGGTGATTCAATTTATATTCTCTTCTCTAAGCTCGATCCTAGATTCTCACACTTGGTAATCAGAGCGGGTTTTCACGCGAGTTCTTCAACCACTTAGTTCCGGCCTTTAAAAAACAGCAGGGGCGACGACAAAAGCGCCGATACGGGTATGTAAAACCAGTTCCGCGCAATTTTTCTTCCCCTCGATTCGGTTTTCGAACACCCCTCAGATTTACTTGTGGAAGGGTTGGAGTTTCGATCGTTCGATCGCGTTTCATCTAAACGGCCTAGAGAATTTCGCCAAAAAACGTTGGAATTTGGAGCGTCGGAGTGATTTTCAACTCAACACCCAAGATCGGACGCGAATTTCGCCCAGGGGAGATTTACGCGACCGACAGAATTTGCGCTCGTCAATCCTTTGGTCAACTTGACTCGCAGTAAGTCGATCAGCACCTACAATTCGATTATTTTCGTCGCGCATCTTTCTGTAAATCGCCAAATGGAGGGAAAAGGAGATATTTCAGTACAGAGAATCGCGGAGTTACGTACTGAGCATAAGCAAATACATGCGGCGCTCCCACGACTCGAAAAACTCCTTGTGAACCAGCCGGCAACCGCCATAGCAGCAGCGACAACTGTAGCAGCAGCAGCAGCAACGGCAACACCGACAATTCTACATGCGACAACGGCAGCAGCTACAGTTAACCTCGAAGCAGTGAAGCCGAGGCTACCGGAGGCGTTCGATCCTACAGTAAAAAGGAACGACGTTCGTCGATTTGTAGCCGAACTCAAAATTTACTTCGAAGCTGTTGGATGCACAACCCCGACAAAAGACGCAATGCGCATACGGCTCGCAGCAACACTGTTACGAGGCCCAGCTCTAGAGTGGATCAACAACAGAATAGTCCAAGGCGAGGGGACGTGGGCGCAGTTTCCGGCAGCACTGATCGAACAGTTCGACACATTGAACAGTAGCTACTACGGAACACGACGGAACAAGCCAACTAGTGGCATGGGGCGATTGGCACCACCCACGACTGCTGACCCGATGGAGAACGACGAGGGCGATGTGGAGTAGTGGCTAGCAAATAATGAGACGTGCAAATTTTGCGGCGCTACAGGACATCGTATCTTGGCGTGTTGGAAAATGGAGAGAAGGTGTGCGGAGCTGAAGGACAAGAATAGTGCGGCACCTCCGAAGCAGAAAACGGACAACGTGGCAACTTCGGAGAGGGCGAAAAAAGGAGAATATGGTGGCGCAAATTTAAAACGTCACGACCAGCCGGCACCAGGGGAAATCGCCGAGACTAATGGAGGATCCGCGAAACAAGACCCTGCACCGACCGGGAAACTCCAGCCGTATACCCCGACAAGCAAGAAAATTACTTCTCGTGGGTTTCAAGCCTTTACTAAGGGAGAGCCAGAAATTAAACCGGTACCGGGTATTATGGGGACCCTACTCCAGAGCGCTAATACGGGTCGAGCGTTCCGAGGAGTTAATATAGTCTCCGAGCAGCACTGTTTAACGGCTCCCTGTTCCCCACAGATGAAGCCTACACAGCTGCAAAGGCTTAGTGGAAGGTTCCAGGCCCAAGAGAAGCCGAATCGGCCTCGGATAAATCCTTCCAACCTTTCTCAGTTGAAAACTGATATTGAAGCTGCACCTTCGAGCGTAGGACCTAGGGATAACATATTCGACGTACCCTACGATCCTATAAGCGATACCATCTCCGGATACTCGGAGTAGCAGCAGCTACTACTACTCGAGGTGATCTACAACGGGTGTCGCCTCCAGGCCCTGGTGGACAGTGGTGCGTCCCACTCGGTGTGCGACCGCAGGACGTTGGAGAAAATTGGAGAATCCTTAGAAGAAACCCAGTTTACAGCAACGATGGTGGACGGTACGAAGCTTCCCATCCACGGAAAGTCAACACTACAGCTGCAGATAGGGGCATTGATGTGGAAGCCGACGTTGCCGATCACGAACATCAAGGGATTAGATTTCATCTTGGGGCGAGATTTTCTGAAGCGGTTCAACCCCGAGATCGATTGGGTCAACAGAAAGGTGTGCATCGACAACAACGGGAAGCGAATAGCACTTCGAAACTGGACGGATACAGGGGACGTACCTGAAACGACATTGGCATGGTTCGAACGGACAGTGAACGAGAGTAACACGGGTTACTTAGCACTGGTTATGGCAGCAGCAGAGGAGGAGGTCTTGGAGCAGTATAAGGATATAATGCCCAACGACCTACCCGCAGGCGTACCTCCAGCACGCACCCACGAGCACGAGATCGTGGAGGAACCAGGTGCGAAACCCGTCTAACGTGCACCATACCGACTGAGTCTGACTGAACTGACAGAAATGAAAAAACAGATAGAGTATCTACCGGACAGACAACTTATCCGCCCATCCACCTCTCCCTACGGTGCACCAGTTCTCCTCACTCCAAAGCTAGACGGTAGTTTACGGATATGCATCGACTACCGCACACTGAACAAACAGATAAGCACTGACTACAGCGCCAGTACTCATCCTACCAGATCCAGACAGAGACTACAAGGTGGAAGCAGACGCTAGTGACCAAGCAGTAAGAGCAGTACTGATGCAACATCACGGACGCAGTTTGCAGCCCATCGCCTACCTCAGTAAGAAGTTACACGGAGCAGAACTGAACTACCCCATCCATGACAAGGAAGCATTAGCGATAGTCATAGCCTTCAAGGCGTGGAGGTGTTACCTAGAGTGAGCCAAGACTACAGTCTATACTGACCACTGCAGTCTCAAATACCTGAAGTCGAAGCCGACGCTCTCACGACGACAGGTACGGTGGGTGGACTTCCTGGAAACTCACTTCCACTA